TATCATAAATTTACAAGTTCATAATTTAAATTCAAATTTTAAACAAATGTATCATACATAACAAAATAATACAAAATTACAAAATATAATTGCAACATAATATAATTAAATAATTTATAACAAAATAACTTCAATGTTTACTTAAGTTTAGTTTCAAGGAGGTAAAATTATTTCAATATTGGGATCTCCTTAAAATTATTTCAATATTGGTGGTGGTGTTTTCAAAACAATCAAAATAATTTTTTTTAAAATTTTTTTATAACTTTTGCATTTAAATTTTAATTAAAAAATAAAAAATGCATTAGAACCGGTCCAACTCTAAAATCGGTTTTTCCCGGCCCAATCCGATTTTTCCCGGTTTTTACCGGTTTGATGACACAGACGATCGAACTAGTAAACCAGACCGGTTACTAGGCCGGTTTCCGGTCCGACAGGCCGGTACGGTCCAATTTTTAAAACACTGCGTAAAAATATAAACTTCGGCCCCTGCTAAGTAAGAGGTCAAGGGAGGTTCAATCCATCTAAAGGGATGACAAACTAGAGCTTTAGAGAGATGAAAATAATTGGTAACTAACAAACCAATTAGAACATTAATATCACATACTCTTTCATTATTTCCAAACTTGATGCAATTTTAAAAAAATAATATGAAGAGTTAATTTAGTTTGGCATATATTCAAAGGATGATAAAGTTATATATTTATGATATAATCAAAAGCGTTCTAAAGATCGAATCAGAAACAACAAAATGGTGTTTTAAACCAACTCTAAACATGGTATTGTTTTTACTAAGATGAAGATCATACCAATTATAACATCTCCCGGCAAGTTCATACATTTATTCAACAACAATGAAACATTATGAGAGAAACAACAAAATGTTTTTTAATCCAACTCCAAACAGGGTCTTGTTTCTACTAAGATGAATATCATACCAATTATAACATCTCATGGAAAATTTATACATTTATTTAACAACAATGAAACATTATGAGAGTAAACAATAAAATAGTTTTTTAAACCAACTCCAAACAAGGTGTTTTTTCTACTAAGATGATGAACATACCAATTATAATATCTCCTGAAAAATTTATATTTATTTAACAACAATGAAACATTATGAGATCCAAATTATTTTCATATTCTATATGTTAGGATTGGTTGAAAATATACATGTTGATATTTTTTATTGTGGAGTATGATTGTTGATGAAAACAATGAAAATTTATGTATTATTTTCAATCAAGGTGGAGATTGTTGAGGTTGGTTGAAAATATACATGCTGAAGACGTCTCACATCGCTTAATTTTTCGAATAAAGAGAGAGTCCAAAGCTACATATAGAATTCAAGTTGATAATTACAAGATGCACCAGTCAAAAACACTTTAAGCTTGTATTTGACTTTATTTGTTCTCTTATGCTCTTATATTAGAGTGTTGTGAGATGTAATTAAATATTTGTTTGGAGGGTGTGGGTGTACCGGGGGGGACTGCGTTAGTTGAAGGTAGATTATGTGATGTAATAGTTTTCACATAGTGTTATTTTCTGGTTGTCTATTGACAACGGTCGTTCTTGTGTTGTGATTGTGTTCCTCTTTTTTCTCAAGGTTTGTTTTTTTCCTAACAACTGGTATCAGAGCTTTTGGCTCGATCTAGGGATAAATGGTCTTAGTATGCTTTCTTCATCTCTGATCCTTTTAAAGCTTATAACAAACCCTCTTGAACAAGAATGGCTTGCATCTTTAAGCAACACAAACTGAAATCATTCACACCGGTGAATTTTTCAATTTCATACTTTGTTGACGACATCTTCTTCTCCATGCTCACCGCACCAGTTTATTGTGAATTGATGTCGTCAATAGAACAAAGTTATGAGAAAAAGATTGAGTTTCTTGAACAAACATAAGAAATCCTATTAGATTTCACTTAATCAACTAATTACTCAAAATATGATAACTGGTATACCAAGTCTTGTGATGCTTGAAAAACAATGTGAAAGTTGCTTAGTAGGGAAGTAATCCAAAAAGTATTTCATTTCAAGTATGCCAATGAGATCTTCCTGCATACTAGAAGTAGTACATTTAAATGTATGTGGCTCGTTTGGGGATCATGTCATTGGTGGAAACAAGTATTTTGTCTCATTTGTCGATGAGTACAGTTGAAAGTTATGGATCCATGTGATCAGACACAAAGGCAAAGTATTTCCAATCCTTAAGAGATTCAAAATACTTTTCGAAAACCAAGTGAAAAGAAGGTCAAGGTTATGCGAACAAATGGAGGCGGAGAATACACATCCAAGATATTTGAAAAGTTTTGTGCAGGACATGGTATTGATCATAAGGTAACTGCTCCTTACATGTCTCAACATAATGGAATAGCAGAAAGAAGAAACTTGACCATATTGAAACAAAAGAACTTGCCAAAATTCTTATGGGGTGAAACAATTACTACTGTTGTTTATATTCTGAATAGGTTCCCTACTTAGAAACTGAAGAACAAGGTTCCTGAAGAACTATGGAGTGACAAACGATCATCAGTGAGTCATCTGAAGGTGTTTGACTCTATTTACTAAAAACATATTTTTGATGCAAGGAGAAGGAAATTTAATGATAAGAGTGAACCTATGATTCTTGTAGGATATCATAAGACTGTAGCATACAAACTATTCAATCCAATAAATGATAAGATCGTGATGACTCGAGACATTGTGATTGACGAGAACTCTGTCTAAGATTGAAATTTAAGTGATGCAATTAACAAGTCATTGATGAGCCATGACATTGATGAAGAAAATGGTGAGTATGAAGAAATTCTAGCTATTGACTTTCGTAAATGGTTGTGGTGTAATGTTTTTGACTTGACAGGGGAAGGAGGAAGCAACTCTATTAGACTAACTAGAGATTATTGAAAGTTAATATAAGATGCAATGTCTGCAATATCTCCTACGTAATAAATATATTTTTAAATTTATTCTAAACGTATACTTCCGAGTTAATGTTTGACAAAATGAAAAAAAATGACTCAATCATAACTAGTTATGGTGTAATTTGTTCAGAAATGCATTTTCAAATTTAAATAACATTTAAATTTTTCACAAAAATATATAAACTTATATGAAAAAATTTACTTTTTGAAAATATTGAATAATCAATGTATCTGATACATATATAATCTAGATACATTAATTATTCACTAAATCTAAAAAATCAATTTTTTATTTATAAATATGATTAGAAAAAAAAGTGTCAAAAATAATGTCCAAATAATAAAAAAAGCCCCACACAAACCGGTTCTAGTTATCGTGTTGCAAAATTCTTTTCTAAAAAAGTCAGCACCACAAATATCATCTATCAATAATCTTACAAGATAATTTTATAAAATTAAAAATTACGATTTTGTTATGAAGACGGCAAACAAAATGTAATAATTTCTTAAAATTAAGAATAATACTTAACCTTTTTTTATTAAAAAAAAAATAATTTGAAATGCTAGTAAAGTTCATTAGTTTTTAATATTGTTGTATGTGTAAATACAATTAAAAGGATGATTATAAAGAAACAGAATGAATAATAAATAAATATAGAAGTTAGAACATTAATTGACGTTCTATATGAAAATATCGGTGATAGTTGTGAACGGTTATGACGAATTACATTCAATACAATATAGCCGTTATGGAAACAAACAAACCTCACAATAAAGCACAATATGCTCCCAACTGCACCACTTCCACATGCTGCCAACCAAACACGTTGTTTTATGGAATTTCCATTACTCATTTATTTATTAAAAAAAAATACTGTAATTTCTTTAAATTTTTTTTCCAATTAATATAACTTTTTGACAGCCAGAATCCATATTTGATACATAAAAGATATAAATATGATAATAGTAACCAAAATAAAAAAATATTATGAACGCATTCCATCAAATCAAATTATATAAATATTTTAAAAACTATTCCAAAATAATAAGGTTATTTATTATAAAGTATAAAAATTAAATCCAAAAGTATCATTACATTTTTTACTTTTAGTAAAAAATTATTCAATTCAATATTTTTCACTCCAAACAAAAGATTTTTCCACATGCTACTACTAATAAAAAAAAATCAGATTTCCTAGTCAAAAACACTTCAATTTTATTCCATTTTTTAATGCTTAGCTTTTTTATTTTTATATGTAATAATTTACTTTTTTTCATCGTGCACGTTTCAGGCAGAGTATGGCTAGTTGGTCGGCAATGTATTCATGAATGAGTAGGCACAATTCATATCTCAGCAAATTGAGACGTTTCGCAACAGATTTTATATTTTCTATAACCCTTTGAAATTAAAAGCCATAAATTTTGCAACTTTTGACTTATTTTCTTCTTGTTTTCTCCATTTTGCCCCTGATTGAGCGTTGAACTAACTTTAACATTAACAGTAACAGTGTCACTCTCATCATCTCAGTTTTGCTTTCAACAATAACTCCTTTCTGTTTGTTTCACCTTTTTTTCTGTTTCAGAATTTTGGTGCTAAACAAGGTAATGTATACTCTATGCAATGGATCTAGTGTTTTTTTTTTTCTTTTTCTGTATTACTTTTGTTTCATTGTTAACAGTTTCAATTGTAGATTTTGGTTCTGTGTTTTTAAGAATAATGTTTTTTTTTTTATACAAAAATTTTAATTTTAATTTTTTTTCATGTTTGATGAAGAATAATTTGTTGAATATATGACTTTTCAGCCCCACCACTTTACTTTTTTTTTAATCTTATGTTTTTATTTTGTCTAAATTATCACAAATCAGATGTTAAATCAGTGTCACTATCTTGCTTCAAAAGAACATTGTACTTTCAAATTGTGTGATGTGATGTGACTATCTTGCATGCAGTTTTTTTGTGATGTATGAAATTTGCTAGTTTATAATTTATATCATTGATTTTTATGAATGAAATTGTTTTGATGAAATAATGAAAATTTGTATATTTGCAGTGAGTAGTTTTGTGAATTGAAGAACATGGCTTCACTTGGAGATATAGGATTTGCAGCTGCGATAAATATCCTTACTGCAATTGCTTTCTTACTTGCATTTGCCATACTTCGGATTCAACCTATAAACGATAGAGTTTATTTTCCGAAATGGTATCTGAAAGGTTTAAGGTCAAGTCCGTTGCAAGGAGGGGCGTTTGTGTCGAAATTTGTTAATATAGACTTCAGGTCATACATAAGGTTCTTGAATTGGATGCCTGCAGCGTTGAAAATGCCGGAACCTGAACTAATTGAACATGCTGGTTTGGATTCTGCTGTATACTTGAGGATATACTTACTCGGGTATGCTTCGTTACACTTTGACTCGTCTAATATCAATGGTTTATTTGTGTCTTTTGTATTTACTAACTGTGTAATCTTACATGATTGAAGTGCAGGCTGAAAATATTTGTCCCAATTTCACTCCTAGCGTTTTCTGTTATGGTTCCTGTCAATTGGACTAATAAGACATTGGAACGATCGAATGTTGTTTATACCAGTGTAGATAAGCTTTCGATTTCAAATATTCCAATGGGATCAAATAGGTACGCAAAATTTTTAAACTTGTGTTTCTAGTTTTCCACCTTTTTCGTGCTCTAAAGTGTGTTTCTTTATCTTTCAACAACTCATTATTGCAGATTTTGGACTCACTTAGTAATGGCTTATGCTTTTACCTTCTGGACATGCTATATCTTGAAAAGGGAGTATCAAATAGTTGCAGCAATGAGATTGTCTTTTCTTGCATCTGAACGACGCCGTCCTGACCAATTCACGGTAAGATCATGTCTTATCACACTCATAGATATAGTATACTGATAATCATAGTAACTCTTATTCTAAGATAAGGATATATATACACCAAAATAACTTTGTTTTTTTCGTTTTATTCCCTATGCTTCTTTTTCAAGAAACTAATATGCATTTGTGCAGGTAATTGTTAGGAATGTACCACCCGATCCCGATGAATCAGTCAGTGAGCTAGTTGAACATTTCTTTTTGGTCAATCATCCAGATAACTATCTCACTCATCAGGTCTGATCCTTTATTTCTACAAGTGCACATACCTAATTGTTTATATTGTCTGGAGCTTGTAGTACTAACAATGTTGTGTAATTTGAACTATTTGATTACATCAAAATTAGGGGTGGCAAAACTGGTCCGGTCCACCGGGCAGGCCTTATTTGCTCGTACTTTTACACAGGGCGGGTCAAGGTTTTAGACCCGCCAAGCCCCCGTTTTTTTGTGGGGATGAGCATTAACATAATTTTTAGCTTTAAAGGTGCAGTGCCCGCGGGTCCGCTTTGCCCTCATTTTTTTGTGGGGCGGGCCAAGATTTTAAGCCTGCACCCTCAACAATGCCCTTCCCGTACTATTTTCTTTTGTTGGCGGGCATGTCCGTTTGCCACCCCTAATTAAAACAATCAAGTTAACCTGTTATGACTTCAAATTCGTGTCAATTTTTACCGGTGTTCAAATTGTGATAGTAGTTCTTCTCTAGTATAAGAAGCAAATAATGCGAAGGTATATTTGGTACGAATTCTAATTGGTTGTATGCTGTGTCTTATCCTACCTAGCTGTTTCATTGTTTTTTTCCTTACTTTTCGAGATATTTTGCAGGTTGTTTACGATGCAAAGAAACTCTCTAGTCTAGTTGCTCAGAAGAAGAAAAAACAGAATTGGCTTGACTACTATGAGCTAAAACATTCTAGAAACCAATCCATAAGGCCAACTATAAAGGTACACCATTTCAGTAATCCGGTCTCTATAAACTCCAAGTCATCTTCCATTTCTTTTTCCTCTTCCCTCTTGCACTACGTAATTCTTTGTGGCTAACACTATACTTGCAGACTGGATTTTTAGGTCTTTGCGGTAGTAAAGTAGATGCTGTTGATTTTTATAATGCAGCAGTTGAGAGGCTGTCAAGAGACGTAAGCAGACCTTCCGTTAACTATATTTCTTGCACAAGAAGTTATTAAATTGTTCATTATTTTTATGAAAACTATGTATTTAATATAAGTTGATGTTTCTCTAAATTTCAGATAGAGTTAGAGAAAGAAAAGGTCATGAAGAATTCTAAATCTATAATGCCAGCGGCTTTTGTTTCCTTCAGAACTCGTTGGGGTGCGGCAGTTTGTGCACAAACTCAACAAACAAGAAATCCGACGACATGGTTGACTGAATGGGCTCCAGAACCCCGTGACGTGTATTGGGATAACATGGCCATACCATATGTTTCACTCACAATAAGGCGGCTTGTAATTGCTGTTGCTTTCTTCTTTCTCACATTCTTTTTCATGATTCCAATTGCATTTGTACAGTCACTTGCTAATATTGAAGGCATTGAAAAAGCAGTACCCTTCCTCAAAGCCTTCATTGAAATGTATTGTTATCTTTTTTGCCTTTTTCACATTTTATTATACATTCGACAAGAAAACAAAATCTTGCAGATAACTCTTTGAGTGGCTCTTTTTCACATGATATGCTTCATTTTTATTGCAGAAAAGTCATTAAATCTCTTATACAAGGTCTTCTTCCTGGGATTGCTTTGAAGATATTCCTCATATTTTTGCCTTCGATATTGATGATGATGTCCAAGTTCGAAGGGTTTATAAGCAAGTCTGCTCTAGAAAGAAGAGCAGCCACAAGATATTACATCTTTCAGTTCATTAATGTGTTTCTCGGGAGCATAATTACCGGGACTGCATTCCAACAACTAGATAAATTCCTCCATCAATCTGCAAATGAGTAAGTGCTCCTCTTATATGCATGCATTTATATAACTGTGTACTCGTATTATCAGTGGTTATTTTACTTGTACATGGTTTCTTCATAATGCAAAAGATTTGTGTCTGTGCAGAATTCCCAAGACAATTGGTGTTTCGATTCCAATGAAAGCAACATTCTTCATAACATACATAATGGTTGATGGGTGGGCTGGATGTGCTGGTGAGATTTTAAGATTGAAGCCTTTGATATTTTATCACTTAAAGAATTTCTTGTTGGTGAAGACTGAAAAAGACCGAGAAGAAGCAATGGATCCCGGGACTTTTGGTTTCAATACCGGAGAACCTCAAATTCAACTTTATTTCTTGCTTGGCCTTGTGTATGCTGTGGTCACACCATTTCTACTTCCATACATCATCGTGTTCTTTGGTTTGGCATATCTTGTCTACCGTCATCAGGTAGATATTTGCACTATTTCAATTCTCATTGTTATCGGTTTTACATATTTACCACAAACATGATTACCGATTTTGTAATATTAACGGCTTAAACTGAATGACAGATTATTAATGTGTACAACCAAGAGTATGAGAGTGCTGGAGCATTCTGGCCTGATATTCATGGACGTATTGTATTTGCGTTAGTTATCTCGCAACTTCTGTTAATGGGCTTACTGAGTACAAAAGAAGCTGCTAACTCAACTCCACTGCTCATCGCTCTCCCAGTTTTGACAATATGGTTTCATCGGTTTTGCAAGGGAAGCTACGAACCTGCTTTTACTACTCATCCATTACAGGTTAGTCCCGAGGTTGAAATTAGTATTCTGCGTACTTTACAAACAGATAAGCAATATTTTAGGCCTATCCTATGTTTTGGATTTGCTTATTTATAAAGCCTGAGTTAAAGTTTCTTGTTTTGCTGTGCATGAACTTCAGGAAGCAATGGTGAAAGATACATTGGAGCGAACAAAAGAGCCAAACTTCAATTTGAAAGAGTTCCTCCAAAGTGCATATATCCATCCCGTTTTCAAAGATGATGATGACTCAGACAGTGATGCGATGAGTCAAGAGTATAAGGAAGAGCCGGTGGTTGTCCAAACAAAACGCCAGTCACGGAAGAACACACCTGCCCCTAGCAAACATAGTGGTTCATTACTGTCCTCGATGCATGACACGGCTGATGTCTGACGATGAGCATAGTTATATAGGTAGATTGGTTCCTGCTGGTAGCAGCATAGTTTGCTTGGTTCACCAGTCACTATAATAAACTGCACAGTGATTTCCTGACTTTCTTTTGTACATAAAAATGCAAAGCAAGAAAATGTTGGGATGAGACAGATAAGAGAGAAGTATTCAGATCAAAATTTGAAAAGTCTTTATCAAAATTTCTCGTTCTTTTATTTTTTATAATTGGCAGGTCAATTATTGATTTAAAGATTCTGAAACCAAGCATTTGGATTTAAAGATTGGAAGTTACATAAATATATGGATTTAATGATAGTAAGTTCAGCATAAAATATATTAATAAGTAAATGTTTTAACAACACCATACATTATAGTAAGTTACATAAATATATGGATTTAATTTTACTTTTAATGATAGTAAGTTCAACATAAAATATATTAATAAGTAAATGTTTCAACAACACCATACATTATATTTGTTCAAAAAAATAAAAAATAAATAATACATGATAAACGACTGAGTATGTCGAACCCCTGAACCCCTTTATCTTTTCCTCCTTCAATTGTATTGTACGCCATTTTGTAACTCGACAACCATGTTCTCCACGAGGGCCAATTGGGATTGTCATTCTCTCTAAGCCTACTCTACCCATCTCCACAACACGTCGACAGGCCGCTGTCACGCTCTCGGTGTGCTCATCCTAAACCTCAAGTATTTCCTGGTTAGCTGGTTTAGGTGGTCTTCTATGAATGTCTGGCGTCATGATAGAGTGTGACAACCTATAGAACCAGGTCATATAGCCGTCTGCATAATCTATTGTACATGAGCTAGTACCCTGCGATACTCCTCTGGCAGGGACGGATTTAGAAATTCTAAATTGTGGGGGGCAAGATCATAATATTACTACTCATCAAAAGTTTAAAGATTATAAAATTATATTAATATAACATACATAAAATTTTAAAATTATGATTGATTTATAAGTGTTTTTATAATTTGAAATTTAGTTAATTTTTTTTTATTTTCCAAAATATTTTTATCTATTTATAATTAAATAATCATTCTTTTTTCACAAATAATCAAATAATAATTCTACAATTTATATCTCATAACATTATTGCAATTTTAGTTTTTGCTGATAAAAAGAATGAATAGTTTTTAGTGGTGGCAACATATAATTTTTGTGTAGAAAAAATAAAATTATTATAGAATTTATGATGAACTATTTAATTTTATGGGGGCAGATGCCCCCAATGGGGTAACCTGGATTCGTGCATGTCCTCTGGTTCTAGGTGACTCTCGAAATCGTTAAGTATCGCATCAAGATCTCTGTGGTGGACGGTGGGAGGAGCGAACTCTGAGGGGTGTCATGGAATAATCTGCAGATAGCCAAACTCCCGCATCAATCGCTCGGGAAAATAAGGAAATATCAGACCGGACCCACATGTCATCCATCCGGAGTATAAGAAAATGACTTTAAATGAACGCGTCTCGCGATGAGTTTCGCATGGGAAGAAGCAAATTTCATCTGTCACAAGATGGTCAAGATGCACTATGAGCGGCTCGATCACAATATTTCCCCTCTACAGAATAAATGCGACAACACGCGACCAATCTTTAGCGTAGGAAGACGCAACTTCAAACCCGATATTGCGAGAAAAGTGAGAGATGATTCATCCCTAAAAACAGTTCAAATACAATATCAATAACAAGTGTAACAAACGAATCTTGGAAATAATAGTAACAGTAAATTACCGTAAGCAGTGTGCAGCTCCCTGCTATCTGTTTTGTCTTCCAAAGAAAATCCGTGGTGAGTTTCAAGTAAAGGTAGAATACATTGACATAAGTCTCAATTTTGTCTACAAAAATAGATGTGCCAACCAAGAACAATAGGTAACACCTCAATGCAAGTCAGATGGTACCCAACCTGCGTGTCATCGCCTTTGGTGTCCACAACCTTCTGCAGATAGTCTTATAAAGCTTTTCCAAAAAAACCAAACCTAGCATGAACATCTCTTGTGTCATGTGCCTCCTATAAGGCCTCAGCTGGGTCAGCCCTCAAATAGGTGAACATCATGTCGATGCCTTCCTCTAGTGTCCCAGAAATTTCCCCCTTATGGAAAGATGCCGGAGGCATGAAACGTCATCCAAGGTGATGGTTTATCGCCTATAGGAAGGTGGAAAGAAGAAGTCTCTAAATGTCACCTCTCAACAAAAGTTACTCGCATACCGTGGGATATGGTCATGTATGCAACCTAACATAAGCCGACAAGATCAAAATAACGGAGAACATCCTGAAACCAATTAGCAGTGGTCAACACATCTGCAAGCTACTTCTGAGTGCTGACATGAACAATCTTAAGTACTCCATTCTAAACCTGATTGTGCAGAAAATGGTACTTAGTATCAACGTGTTTTCTTTTTCCATGTAGCACTTGATTCTTAGCAAGAATTTTGGAAGACTTGTTGTCAATCATCAACTTGACTGGTTTGCTTACCTTGAACTTCAATTCTTGCAGTAAATTCATCAGCCAAACAGTCTGGCAAGCTGACAGAGCACCCACTATATTCAACTTCAAAGGTTGACAATCCAACCACTGGTTGCTTCTTGGAACACCAAGAAATGGGAGATCCTAGATAGATAAACATGTATCCTATAATGCTTCTTCTATCTATTATATTACCACACCAATCAGAGTCAGGGTAGCATATCAACTAAGCAACATCTGACACTCTATATGGAAACAAAATTCGATGCCTCAGAGTTTCTTTTATATACCTCAGAATCCTGGTTGTGGCTTGGTAATGTCACCATCACTCTCATCATCTTAGTTTTGAAAAATCTTCATCCCTAGAAAATATACCAGTAAGAGTGTCACTCTTATCATCTCTTGAAGATTTTAAGCCCATCAGCGCTACAACACTGAATCCTATTCAGTTGTTGTTTTACTTCTGCAAAATCTTCATCCCTAGAAAATATACCATATTTCCAAGGCCAAACATATCAAACGCATTCATCAGCACCTTCTTGAACTTTATTTCAAAAGTAAAGCTCCTTGTTAGAAGTATGTAATCCACATAAAGACACACCAAAATTACACTGCCTTAAGAAGTATGTTGCACATACATACCATACTCCATTTCACATTTCTTGAACCCCATATGCTTGAAAAATGAATCAATTTTTATATTCCAAGCCCTGCGAGCTTGTTTCATCCCATACAAAGCTTTTATGCAGCTTGTACACCATCCCTTCTTTGTTTGCTTTCACAAATCCAAGAGGTTGTAACAAATAAACTTCTTCTTGTAATAGACCATTTAGAAAAGCTAACTTTACATCTAAGTGTATCAGAGGCCCATTCCTATTTGTAGTTATAGAAATAACCAACCTTATGATTTCATGTCTCGCTACAGGTGCAAACACTTCAAAGTAGTCTAAACGATACTTTTGTAGGAATCCTCTAGCTTCTAACCTTGTTTTATGCTTAGGAACTAAACCATCTAGTTTCATCTTTATCTTGAAAACCCATCTCACACTGTTGGCTTTCTTGTTCTAAGGTAGAACCGTCAATTCTCATGTCTTGTTTCTTTCAATGGTCTCAAGATCTTCCTTCATTGAATTCACCCATACCTTCTTCTTGAGAGCCTTATTAATTATGACAAGTTCAGAGTCCACCATTATGGCACTATGTACGACTTTACCTTCAGATTCAATCTCAGTATCTTGCAGCAACTCAAAATCTTTAAGTCTCCTTGGTATTATTCTAACTCTCAGTGGTCTCTAGAAACCTTCAAAAGCAAGACCACCTTCACAAGCCGTACCTTCAGAAGTTCTACCTTCAGAGACTGGGTCACCTTCAGAGTCGGATTCATCATCAGATTCAGAATCACGTTTAGAGGCATACTCTCCTTCTAAGACAAAATTAAACTCTAGTTTTGACACTGCACTAGAGTTGGATTGAAACTTGTTCCGATCCCATGTTTCTAATTCTTTCACTATGACATTTATGTTGACTTCACTTTTATTGGTGACTGGACAATATAGCTGATAAGAACCTATACTGTGGTAACCTATAAGCAACATGACCTTGCTTATGTCATCCAATTTCCTTCTAGTGGCATCTGGTATATGTTTGTAACAAACAAAACCAAACACCTTGAAATGGCTGACACTTTGCTTTCTTCCAGTCCACTTCTCAATAGGAACTACTTTATTTAACTTCTTCATTGGACATGTGTTAAGCACATATACTGAACTAGCAATTGCTTCACCCCACGATTACTTAGGAAGATTCTTCTCCTTTAGCGTGCTCCTTGTCATGTCAAGCATAGTTAAATTCCTACTTTCAGCAAGACCACTATGACGTAGAGTCTAAGAGTAGTGACCTCATGCTCAATACCATGTTCCTCACAGAACTTCTTGAACTTTGTTGAGTTGAATTCACCTCCACCATCAGTTATGAGGATCTTCAACCTTTATCCACTTTGATTTTCTGCCTTCACTTTGAACTTCTGTAAGTCAGCAAAAACCTCATGTTTGAACTTAATGAGTGTTACCCATGTCATTCTTGTGAACTCATCCAAAAATGACATAAAATACTTATTCTCTCAAAGTGAAGGTACCTCAAATGGATCACATACATTAGAATGCACTACACCTAAAGCATGAGTTGTTATTACGGATATCAACGGGGCACACAATATGTAGAGGATGCTTCCCATCTCCATGCCCCGCCCCTTAATGTTTCCCCAATCCCCACCACAGAGGAATAGATTTCCCCATCCCCATCTTCACAGATCCCCAATGGAGAATCAGAGATCCATGGAGATCGAATCTTTAAAAAAATTCTATACTTTTTATCAAACTATGACACTACTATGTCCTCATTATTTAAAAAAAAACATAAATTTTGAATCTTTATTTTTAAAAATAAAAACACAATTTGCATAAATAAATAAAAATGCAAAAACACATGCAATTACGAAAACATAACTACTAATT